ATTTCGTCCACAACAAGATGCATACGATAAAATTCGTCTCAAATAAAGTCTAAGGTCTGAAAACAGCGAAAAACTAAGAGTAGTCCAAAAAATCAAAACTTTTTGCTTACATAGCTACAAACTAAAGAAAAAGGGTCTAAAAGATCGGTTACACCCTGAAAAGTATTCTTTGTAGTTCTCAGATGATGTGTAATTTTCACCGACGCAACATCAAAAAAACGATGAAATCGAGGGTTTTCGAGATCCGAGTCTCGGACTTTGACGGTGCGTGCAAGCTAAACGACTGACTTGACGATAAATGTTGTTCAGATCATTAGTGTAGACCATTTTACGCTCTACAAAAAAGGTACGTATAGTTAGTTACCCTATCTTGCTTAGTTTTCGAGATATTTGAGAAAAAATAAAAAAAATCGCGTTTTTTGTTGATAATATTGTTAATAACTTTTTAATGCGCATTAATTATGCGAAGCAAAATTAATCCCACTTACAGCACCTTAAATCAAAGCGATTCATGGTGATTGCAACCTGAAAAGAGTAATTGGAAGGTTCGATGTCTAATATGACTGGCCTATTAAGCCCTAAACCATTTTAATCGGTTCAATCGAATTTTGGAGACGGCCCTGTCCCGGTTGACATGGAACGTCCCATATATAATTTTTTTTGTGTATTACATATATCTTCTCCAACATTAGTAAACTGCGTGCCTACTACTCTTATTAGATTTATCAGACTTATAACAGTTCCCGTTGAAGTGAAATTCCCCCCCCCCCCCCCCCGTAATTATACCGATTCTATTTAACTATCTAAAATCTAAATAACCGTAAAGAAACCCTGGCTGAGGTAATATTTTTCACAATAATTTCTTTACAGTTATTTAGATAGGGTTCCTGGGTATAGTCACCGTGGCCATGAATTTCTTGCTATCGAGGCGAAAAATGACCCTATTTTCTCGTGCGTGGCATTCTCAAATAAAAAGCCATTTCAATAAAAAAAATCACTATAGATCGTTTCAGAACACTTCTAAAATTGACCGGGGACTATTCTTTTCCCTCGACAACAAACAACCATAAAACGAAGCCTAAACATACGGGAAAACAAGCCGTTTGACGACTATCAAAAGGAGTGGAAAATGTTCCTCCGCATATGTAGGTATTCCTTGCAAATCTTACTCCTCGGTCAATTTCACGAATACGTTAAACGTTATAGCACAAGTACAGAGCGAATAATAAGGGAATTCCACGCACGACAAAATAGGTTGTCAACATGTCACAAAGGACTCGGCGCGCGGTTTACTAATAAGCCAGTCAAATTAGACAAAAAAAAGGCCTTTGCTCGAAAGTGATGCGAACTTTTTTATTCCTTTTTAGGCGTGTAGGGGGTGTTTAGAAAATCTTATTTCTGAGTTGTCGGGGTATTTGAACCAGAGCTTTTTGAGGGGGGGAGAGAAAACCAAAATTTTCGCGGTTTTTTGCATTTATCTCGTTTCGATTAATAGATAGCACTTTTTCGCTCCTGAGAAAGTTGTAGGGCTTGAAAAAACGAAGAAAATGAGCGGTGACTCGTTCCGATTTGTCAAAAATTGAGCCCCCCCCCTGAGCAAGCCTCCAAAAATTGAGGACCCCAAAAATTCAATGAATTTTGATGTAATATGCGGCAAATGGTAGGTATTTTCATCCTCTACAAGTTTCATAGTAGTCATTTTTCGATTGCATTTATCAGAAAAGAGACAGAAGCGAAAAACGCGCCGAGTTCCGAACGCTCGGCTCGACACGCGCGACTTCCGGAGGCTCCCTTGGGCTCAATTTTTGACGAATCGGAACGAATCACCGCTCATTTTCTTCGTTTTTTCAAGCCCTACAACTTTCTCACGAGCGAAAAAGTGCTATCTATTAATCGAAACGAGATAAATGCAAAAAACCGCGAAAATTTTGGTTTTCCCTCCCCCCCCTCAAAAAGCTCTGGGTCAAATACCCCGACAACTCAGAAATAAGCTTTTCTAAACACCCCCTACACGCCTAAAAAGGAATAAAAAAGTTCGCATCACTTTCGACCTCAATGTCTAATTTGACTGGCCTATAA